GCCGCAGCTGCTTTAGCTGCAGTGCAGCCCCGACAGGTGAGCCTGGAGCCAGCGCAGGGCCCAGGCTGGCAGTGGGAGCAGGTTATAAGTGCAGGGGAAACATGGCCCCTCCCCTGCCCCGTGGCCAGTGCCCCACACTGCAGCTGCTTGCAGCCCATGTGGGGCTGCCTGTGCCCACTCAGGACAGCCCCGCACGGACTGCGAGCAGCTGCAGCAGGGAGTGCGGGACATTGGGCGAGGGAGGTGCCACTTTTCCCCTCCACTCTGCATCAACTCATTCCCTGCCCACAGTCCTCCCCTGCCCTCCCCCCTCCCACTTACCTGTTCCTACGCCACTGCAGCCACGGGGAGCCACATGGTCCCAGGCCAGAAGACCCTGCTGGGGCTCCCGGCTGGTGGGCGGGGCCAGGTCAGCCCTGCTGTTGTAGGAGCCCACTGGGGCTTCCCCTGGGTCCTACTGCCCCTGTCTCCTGTCATCTTTGACAGGAACCAAGGGCAGATAAATACGTATTAATTTTCTAAGTTTTTAGGGGCCCCGTGGGCCAGATCGAATGGCCCCCAGCTGTATTTTACCCGCCCCTGTTCTACATGGTGCACAATGTGCTGCGCTTGTGTTCAGAGGCTCACATTATCCTTTTCATTCCCTACCATAAAATTGGATAAGCCTATTCATCTATCCCAGTGGAGCAGTGAAGTTCTGATCTACTTGCCTTCTCAAAGCAACAGTTGCTGGCCCCAAAAAATAAAAATGGGGGAAAAACAGACTAGCATTAACCACTGACTTATTCTCCCCCCAAAACCATTTCCTAACATCACAGTGACAGCATGGCCTATCACAAACATGCCATGCATAGTAATCATCAATGACAGCACCACCTTATCTTCCTACTCAGACTTAGAGACTTAAAGAATTTATATTTGTCTAAAGTGGCTGGTAAATATAATTATTTGGTGCACAGTAACACTGGCTCGCCACCTACATGATGTCATAAAATGCCTGTGAAATAATAGGAAGACTTTGTATCACAAACCATCTTTCAAAGGCCTGGGAAGTCTGGTTTCCTTCTAATTCTAGCTGGACATATTTTAAAGTACTCTACTGTTGTATGGTGTGCCTACAAGCAGGTGCTCTACACAATGTTGCCTTTGCTCGAACAGTGCATCTGGCTGGACTTGGGGGCAACAGAAACCACTCTTATACTTGGAATGAATACGTATGTATGGAGCAAGATGTCATGCTCAGGCTAAAATGAGCAAAGACTTGTTTCAAGGACTTTATTTCTAACCCACAGAAAAACGTTTACAATTATAAACAAAAATTCAACTATTTACTGCGCACTGTTATATGACCAAAATATGGGAACTTTTACACAAAAGTCTTCATGAAAAGTGCCTTTGTTATCAAAAATTTAAGTGTAAAAAATTTCAGCTATCAATATATATAAAAAAATAATGATAGATATTTCTGTCCATGTATTAGTAGAATATTGATATGGTTCCAAGGATGAACTGGGAAGAAACAGAAAATGATCAGCTAAACAGCAAATTAAATAAAAGTTAAATTGTTTATTGCTTCTCTTTAAGACAACAAAAACTACAAGTTATAAAAAACAAAGAGCCAGGAGACCTTGCCCTGCTATGTTTGTCCTATTGTCAGACACGAAGGCACAATACATAAGGCTCATTATGCCACTGTCTACTTAATAAATTCAAACTGCCTGCAGTCTCCACGGAAGAGGCATCACAGCCTCTCAGTAATGGACTGCTAGAGAAAACATGCATTTGCTCCATAAGCAGAGATTTATGGACATTGCAGTGAAATTAGAATATGATATTTGGAAGGATGTGCAGTTTTTCATCATGATTTACAAACAGAATCACACTGAGCCCAAATAATGCACAGGAATTTCTGCATTCCTTTCACATGGCTAATGGGTCTCTACACCTGACAGGCATGAAAGTTTACAAGATTAGAGAACAGACTGCAAAGGTTAATAACCTCCAATACTTCAATAACCTGGATTAATAGCAGTTGACATCCTAGAATAGTGGTGCTCAAAAGTTTTGGCCCCATGGGCCAGATGAGTAGTACGAGGCCAGTCTCTGGGTTGGACAGGACCCCAGATGCCAGGATTGGGACTCCACAGCCTTGGCTGGCCCCCACTGGGATCAGGTCCTGGAACCCTGTATTGCCCCTGCCCAGCCCTACAGGCTGGGATTGGGCTCTGGGGCTTTACTCCACCTCCACCTGTCCTGGCATGCCAGGATTAAGCCCTGAGTGCCTGATCACGTGCACAAGGCCACAGCTTGTGTGGAGCCCTGTGGGCTGGATAACAAAGTGCCAGGAATCAGATCTGGCTTGCAAGCTAGAGGTTGAACACCCCTGTCCTAGAGTTTCAAAAATGAATTTCCACAGATTTAAAATTTGACTTTACAAATTTAAAATATAGTGATACTAATCTAGGAGTTATTTTCTGTCCTACCCCTTCCACCACCTCCTTCCCCACACCATCTACTTCTATTTGGACAGAGTCTGTTATGCCATTTTGAATGCCCTCAGGAAGCCAGAGCCTACAAGAAAAGAAAAAATATTTGCAGAGGAAAATTACTGGTAAAGCTTTGTGGGTAGCCACAGCACGTAAAAGCTACCTTAGAAGTAACAAAGTGACCTTTTTCCATAGTGCTATGTAGCTGAGCTGAAAAGCAAAGTGTCATGCCATCCATTCAATGAACATCATCAAAATAAAAGACTACATTCCTTTCTACTGCAATGCCACAGGGAAATTTACTTCATTCAAAATCTGTTCAGTACTCCCTTCTCTTTATGCCATTATTTCAGCAAATTCAACGGCATTAAAATGAAACCAGAAACCAAAAATAGAACAGTACACACTAATGGACTATATGGAAAATCACCAGCTCAATACAGAAATGGAGCAACATGAGCATTGTAATAAGATATACATTTATAAAAATAACTACATTAAAATGTAATCAATTAAGGCATTTATTCATTAACTCCAATGAACCTGAAACAATTAAATACAAAATTTATTTTAAAATGATAAATATCCTACAAAAAATAAAACCATCTCCCCATGTCAGCTAATACTCTCAGATGTTCTCAAGTGCTTTATTTTTAATCGCTTTCCATAAAAATTGTCTTTGGTATTTCTCAGAACAAATGACAAACTGTGGACAGCATATAAATTTCCAAAGCACTTGACTTAATTACTAAATGCTTGTTAAGGTCCTTAATCAAATTTTATGGGAAAAGTTAATGGCAATCTTGGCATAGTGCCCAATTTGGGC